AACCTAACCTAACCTTTTTTTTTTTTTTTTTTTTTTTTTTTATGATTCCACGGCCGAGGCGTAATTTTCTATCATCTAGCGAATGACGAGCGGCGAAGAGCCTCGGCAAAAGTGACTGTAATAGTTTCCACGGTGAACAATGCCCGGACTTCGAGAGTTTCGAGATAAATGCGGGCGTATACCGGTGGCTCGCTTGAAAGAAATTGTTCGTGAAGTACGTTTCCCAGGGAAGATTCTTGCCCGATTCCTTTCTACTTCTTCTTCTTCTTCCTCTTTCTCATTCCGTTCCTCTTTTTTGTTTCGTCCGTCTCCGTTACGCGGCCGTTCATTGATTCGAGAGCAATAATATGGTTGAATGGGCGATTGTAAAATTTGCGGTGCAAGCACTCGTCCCACGATGGGCGATGAGAATTCTTCAGAGGAACCTACTTCTCACGGTTAAATCTCAAGTGCGAAGTAGATTCTTATTTTATTACTCGATCCGTCGATCACTCCTTTCTTAAAAATCACTATTGTACCTCTTTCAATGGATACAGATAACGGTGCGAAGTAACTTTATGAATTCCTACTGGAAACACTGAAATTCCTGGATCCGGGAGTAAGATTCCCGATACGTGACGAGCGTGACGGTGGCATCGTTGAACGAATAAATAAGTCAATACACCGCGGCGGCGGAGAGATGCACACGTAACACGGGAACAGGAACGCTATGTCTTGTAGGCGTCACTTAATATCGTCAGTCAACACCCGAACTTCTGTCGGCTGTCGCGGTTTAATGCAGCCGTCAATCTCCTTCCTCCTCTCTCGGCCGCGAATTTGCCGCATTTTCGTCTTCGAGGATCGAACAACGGGGAAAACAGCAGCAACCCCTGCGGTGTTGGGGGGTGGCTGGCGTGGATATTCGATCGTAATCGGCTGTTTTATTCCCATCGCGTCGTCGTGCCGCGGATGCAAATGGTCGTCCGGCCAAATAAATTTGCATATTAAGCTATATTTTAATACGCGTGCGTGTCGACGGTAGCAGCGGGACATTTAAAAAATTATACTTGCAAACGGGGGAACATAATTAACGTCACCGGCACGCACCATTATCCACCGATCCGCCCAGCCCCGTTTCCTCGCCTGAGGTACAGCGTTGTTCAAAATTTCCCACTTGCCCCGGGAAACGAATACGGCGGCGGAATTCTAATTCGCGGATGATAAATCGTTGCGGGAAGGTAAATCGCGACGCGATAGGGGCTGCGGCATCCGTCCCCGTGACGCGACGTCTTCTCACATCCGAACGGCGAATTTTGATTCACTCGAGACGGCGA